CAATAATAACAAACAGACAAAGAATAAGCACCACCTTCTCTTAGCTGGAGACTTCAACATCAACCTTGGCTTACTAGAGATCAGCCTGTACTGATTTCATCAACAATATGAACAACACCCCTTCTCATACCAACAATAACTAAACCAACCAGGCTCACTGAGACAAGTGCAACCATTTAAAAGACCCCATATGGACCAATATACTAGCCCCCCCTTAAATCAGGGATAATCACAGATTTGCACTACAGACCACTTACCCTACCTTCCTCCTGACAAACATTAGTAAACCACCACTTGAATACAACAAAGTCTCATTTAGACTCCCTGACGAGGGCCCCAGTTTAAGGAAGTTCACACTGACCTAGAGATTGTTGATTGGCCTACAGAATTCTCCAAGGCCAATGGTAATTGATGACTGGACAGACCCTTTTTCTTAACAAATTTACTTAGACTATACAACAAACCCAAATTGTCCCCATAAAAACGAAACAGATCACAAACAAACGGCTTGGGTTGCCCGTGGTAACCAGCACCATTCTGAAAACCATTGACAAGAAACACCAATATGAAAAGCAATATAGACAGGGCCTTAATACACAAAGATACTCTTAAACACTATTCATCAGCTCTCCCCCAAAGTAATAAAGAAAGCCAAACAACTATACTAAATCCAGTAGATTCACAGACACTAGAGGAGATAAAAAAAAAGACCTGGAAAACACTCTCTCAGATTTTCTAGGGACCCACAAACTGAGAAAAATCAAGATTATTGTCCTAAACTAAACCTAATGAAAACACCACATCATCCCCCTGACAACCCGCTTTAAAAAGATAAACGACTTCTTCTCAAACATAGGATCTAATCTCGCCAGTAAAATCCCACATACCAATGCCCATGCCCGGGGACTTTCCTAGATGATGGGAATTTTCCCCAAATTCCTTCTATCTTGCACCAACTGAGCCCACGGAAAGTCAAATTTAGATCATAAAGTCACTTAAAAATAACTTGGGGAAAACTGTTCATGTCCCACCATTACTGTACAAGCGAGCGGCCCATGTCCTTTCGCATGCTATTTCATTACTTTTTAACAAGTCACTAGAGACTAGCACCTTTCCCGAAACTACTCAAGATGGCAAGGGTTACACCAATAAAATAAAAGGTGGTGACCCTACAGACTTAAACAAATATAGGCCAATATCTAACTTCCATTGCTATCCAAAATCTTTTGAGAAACTCGTGCACAGGAGACTGTATTCATTTATAACGGCTCAAAACATACTCAACCCCTGCCAATTTGGATTCAGGAAAAATAAAAGCACTAATAATGCAATCATAAAAAAGCTAGATCTGCTTTACACAGCATTGTAAAATAAGGAATATCCACTAGGAATTTTTATTGACCTAAGAAAGCTTTTGACACAGTAGACCACGACATCCTACTACCCAAACTTGATCACTACAGTATAAGAGGCCATTGCGCTTGCTTATTTTCAAATCTTACATTTCTAATAGGTATCAGTACGTCCCCCATTTAAAGACACAGCATCAGCAACACGGCCATTGATACTGGAGTTCGCAGGGAAAATGTTCTTGGTCCCCTGCTCTTCCTCCCCTATACATCAATGACCTTCCAAACGATCCCAAAAACCTGAAACCCATTCTCTTTGCTGATGACACGACTTATGTCATCTCTCACCCCAATCTTGCCACCCCCCAACACCATTGTGAATGAGGAGCTGATTAAAAATATCGACTTGGATGACAGCCAATAAACCTTATGCTTAACACTTTACAAAACCTACTATATTTTGTTTGGTAGCAGAGCAGGAGATGCACAAATTAACATTAAGATGACAACACTCTAATTACCCGAAATAATGGGGAAATTCCTAGGCTTATACCTTTTCAACAACCATATCCACATATAGCCAAAAAAGTATCCAAAATGGTTGGGATCCTCTCCAAGATATGATTACTACGTGCCGCAAAAAGCCCTTCTCACACTATAAACCACTCACTTATTTATCCATACCTTTACCTATGCTATTTGTGCTTGGGGATCAAACTGCAGCAACACACCTAAAGCCAAAAATAACCCAACAAAAAGCTGCAGTAAGAATAATCACTAAATCCCATCCCTGGCAACACACCCCCCCACTCTTCATAGACCTAAACTTACTCCCAGTTCGTACATCCACACTTACTACGTGCAATCTACATCTACAGGGCCTTAAACTCTAAAATCAACCTTGACTTAAAACGCTTTCTTGATAGTTGTGACAGAACCCACAGGCATAACCACCAGACACAAACATCTCTACGACATTCCCCGTGTCCGACTAAACCTTTACAAAAATTCAATGTATGTCAAAGGCCCAAAATCTGGAATACCCTACCTGAGAACTCTATAACTGCAGACACATCATCACCCTTTAAAACTACCATTAGAAACATCTTATCTCCCTGATAAAACCCCGTCAACTAACTACACGAATACCACCTGGTGGTTCACACTTACACTCACTCACTTTATTTGAACCATAAACAGAAATATTAATCTCCAATCTTAAAATAATGAATCCCATGATACTCCAATACTGAAACCCATGTACTGTGCCAAACAAAAGCATTCACATTGCTAAACTCACAAACTAGTATTTAGTCACTTAGCCATAATACCAACTTACCTCATAATTTGCAATATTTTAAAATAAAGAATTAAACTAAGTCTGCCCGAAATGCCTAGCCATGCTAGGTGTTCTAGTGGTACACTCTGTAATCATTATTTTACTACATGTAAACCACACAATAACCAAATTCTGTAAATTCAACATTGTAATCTTTATAGAGAATAAACTTTGAATTAGAATTTGAATTTGAATCATCCGAACAGCTGTTGAAGATCCCCAGGCACGAATACTGTAATCGAGGTAAGGATGGCTCAGAGAGTATTTCAGAGTAAGCAGTGTTGGGTGAGACACATAGTAACGTATTTTGGATAAGATGCTCATTGTTCTGAAGACCTTGGGCATGTACCAGATGTTTGCGCTGAATTTTAAATTGCGATCAAGGTGTAAAACTAAGAATATTTTCCTCTTCATCATGTCTAGTAATAAATGTATTATTTTCTGTAATAATAATAATAATAATAATAATAATAATAATAATAATAATAATATTTCTATGTGAGGGAAAAGCCCTTAAAAAGTGGAGGTTATGGTTGTTCAGACATCCAGGAACCATTAGCGTGTTACTGCCCGCACTACCATCTAGCGGGTTGAGGCTAAACTTCAGATCCTGGAGTTCCTCTGGTCTGATTTGCTTTAATTTCTACTTCTGGTGTGGGTTGAAGTTTGGAGAAGCACTCACCTTCACTCTTCTGATCAGCTCTGCTACTGGCGTGGTCAGCAAAGGTACACGCTAGTTAATTGGGGCAAAATTCCTGGTTTTACAGGAAATTTGTGGGACATTACAAAATCCTCACCTCTAAAATCTGAAATTGTGGTACTAAAGACCGAATTGTGACAGGAAAAATTTCCCGAACATTCGGACGAACACCGCCCACCCAGGATAACCAACCCTATTCTTTCTAAAAACATCATCAGAAGATCATCCTGGGCATAAGATACTCCTGTCCCAACATTCTACTGGAACCACAGCGGCCAATTTATATTATATTTTTAATTTAAAATCATTAGAAAATGATCAGAGTTTTTATCTATTAAGTTGTTCATTATTTATTTTTCCATTCTTTTGTTCAGGCGGAAGGCGTTCCCCTGACATTCTACAAGTACATATACAACGTATACCTATAATATATTCACTTGTACATTTTTAGCTTTGCTCCCAAACATTATATAAAAAATCTTGTTGATATTACGAGTCTCTTGGTCATTAACCAAGGATATATCTTTACGAGCTAGAAATTTACAAAGTTGTCGAGAAAACCCGGATCTGGATGGTAGATGACAGAAGTTGAGTTATTTGCAAACAGAGCCCGCGTAAGTTTCTGAGGTGCATTAGGAAGGCCAATGATATAGATGAGGGATATGAGAGTGCCAAGGGTACTGCCCAGAGGCTATGTCACTGATGAAACCATGACGGTGGTGTCTGTTGATAAAGTAGGTCTAAGTACGAGAGTGAGTCACCTATGACAGCATAATGTTTTAATTTTAGATGCAAGATGTTGTGGTCTGAGCTTTCCATAGACAATAAAGAGACCCCAGGGATATTCTATATTTACAAGAGACATATAAAGTCATGAATTTTGAATATTACAACATTCATATTTTTTCCTGAAATGAAACTAATAAGGTTTAAGTATATTGTGAAAGGTTAAGATATCAAACTACGAGGTCATAACGAGACCAAACAAAGAGGACATGAAACCAAACAACGAGGACTTAGCAAGACTAAATAACGAAGATATAATGATACCAAATAACGATTACAAAACGATACCAGACATCGAGAGATTTGCATTACTGAGGGACACCAAAAACTTTACTTTCAAGCACTTACAAGCAGCTCCCTAAACTTACCTTCAATCTCTTACTAGCAGCTCCCAAAGCTTACCTTCAAGCACCTACAAGCAGCTCCCAAAGCTTACCTTCAAGCACTTACAAGCAGCTCCCAAAGCTTACCTTCAAGCACCTACAAGCAGCTCCCAAGCTACTTAAGCATTACAAACAGCTCCCAAGTTACTTCAAGCCTTACAGAGCTCCAAGTTACTCAAGCACTTACAAGCAGCTCCCAAAGCTTACCTTCAAGCACTTAAAAGCAGCTCCCAAAGCTTACCTTCAAGCACTTAACCCTCAAGGGAGTTTCGTTGACGCTGGTGAGGGGCTCTTGATCTAGGGAATTGGATCTGTGCTCCAGTTCCCTGAACTGAGCCTGAATGCATTCCATAGCCCCGCATAGGCGCTGTATAATCCTACGGGGTTAGCGCTCCCCATGATTATAACAATTGAAGCACTTACAAGCAGCTCCCAAAGCTTACCTTCAAGCACTTACAAGCAGCTCCCGAAGACGACGAAGGCGCAGATCCAAATGCACATGGAGGAAGACTGTTGTCTGTGATGCTGCTGTTGCTACTGTTACTCCTCCTACCGTTGCTACTGTTGATGGTGTTGCTGCTGATATTGTTCTTGTTATTGCTGCTTGTGACTGTGTTCCCGTTGTGCTGTTGCGGATGTTGCTGCTGTTGCTGCTACTTGTACTGGTGAGACTGATACTGCTCCTGCTGCTTGTACTGTTTCAGCTGTTCCTGTCACTGTTATTGCTACTACAGCTGTTGGTACTGCTGCTCGTACTATTACGATTGGTATTGTAGCTGTTGATGCTGGTTGAAATCTTGTTGCCGCTGCTGCTGCTGTTGCTACAGCTGTTAGTGTTCCACGGCTGCTGTTCGCGCCCTCCTTTCGTAGCTGACACTGCTGTTAGTGGCAACGGTGGTACTGCTGTCAGTGGCAACGGTGGTACTGCTGTCAGTGGTATAGGTGGTACTGATATCGCTTCGGACTCCCATTATCTGACTGAAGAGGGAGAGAGTGGGTGGAGGGGGAGGGGAGGAGTGGGAGAGGGGAAGAGGGGAAGGAGAGGGAGAAAGATAAGCGATGGGGGAAGGGCAGTCATTACCATGAGTAGTGTTATGGAGGGAAGCGCTAAATCCGTACGGGGGTATACAGTTCCCGACGGAATGGGAAGCGATGAGGCTTCATCCCAAGGAAGAGGGGGGGGGAAGAAAGGGTGGCTCCAGTGCCTTGGATTATGAGCTCATCATTAGCTCATGATCCATGAGGGGAGGAGAGGAGGATCTGGGCCAACTATGAGGGGAAGAGTGAGGAAACAAAAGGGGGTGGGAGGGGGTTATGGGGAGGAGAAGGAAGAATGAAAGGGACAGGATGATGACTGAGAGGAGGAGGAGGAAGAATGAGAGAAGGAAGAATGAGGAGAGGAAGAATGAGAGAGGAAGAAGGATTTCTATTGATACGTTATCATGAGGGGCGTCCTGGTATTGTTTGTACAGAACAATTGTGTGTATGTGTATGTGTGTGTCTGTGTGTTAGTTACCATTTTGTTCTAGGTACATGTCGATTAGACACTAGACGTGTTGTATATGCGTACTTATGTGTGTGTGTGTGGGTGTGTGTGTCAGTGCTCACCTAGTTGTACCCACTTAGTTGTGATTGCATGGGTCGAGTCACAGCTTCTGGCCTCGCCTCTTCACAAGTCTCTACTAGGTCACTCTTCCTGCTCCATGAGCTTTATCATACCTCTTCTTAAAGCTATGCATAGATCCTGCCTCCACTGCATCACTTCCCAGACTATTCCACTGCCTGACAACTCTGTGACTGAAGAAATACTTCCTAACATCCCTGTGATTTATCTGAGTCTTCAACTTCCATCTGTGACCCCTTGTTGCTGTGTCCCATCTCTGGAACATCCTGTCTCTGTCCACCTTGTCGATTCCTCTCAGTATTTTATGTCATTTTCATATCCCCCCTGTCTCTGCTGTCCTACAGTGTCGTCCGGTCGATTTCCTTTAACCACTCCACGTAGAACATGCCCCTTAGCTCCGGTACTTTCTCTAATTTTCTAATATGCTTGACTACGTGTGGGTTTCAAACTGGTGCTGCATACTCCAATATAGGCTTGACATACACGGTCATGAACGATTCCTTATTGAGATGTCGGAATGCTATTCTTAGGTTTGGTAGGCGCCTATATGCTGCAGCAGTTATTTGATTGATGTGCGCCTCAGGAGATGTGCCTGGTGTTATACTCACTCCAAGATCCTTTTCCTTGAGTGAGGTTTGTAGTTTCTGGGCCCTAGACTGTACTCCGTCTGCGGTCTTCTTTGCCCCTCCCCAATCTTCATGACTTTGCACTTGGTGAGGTTGAATTCCAGGAGACAGTTTCTGGACCAGGCCTGCAGCCTGTCCAGATCCCTTTGTAGTTCCGCCTGGTCCTCGTCCGATTGAATTTTTCTAATCAACTTCACATCTGAGTCTAATCCTTCCGTCCTGTCGTTTACATATACCAGAAACAGCACCGGTCCTAGGACTGACCTTTGTGGAACCCCGATCGTCGCAGGCGCCCACTCTGACACCTCGCCACGTACCATGACTCGCTGATGTCTTCCCGACAGGTATTTCCTGATCCACTGCAATGCCTTCTCTGTTATACCTTCCTGGTCCTCCAGCTTATGCACTAATCTTTTGTGTAGAACTGTGTCAAAAGCCTTCTTACAGTCCAAGAAAACGCAGTCTAACCATCCCTCTCTCTCTCATCTTATTGCTGTCACCTTGTCATAGAACTCCAGTAGGTTTGTGACACAGATTTCCCATTCCTGAAACAGTGCTGGTTGTCGTTGATAAGCTCATTCCTTTCTAGGTGCTCCACCGCTCTTCTGATAATCTTCTTCATGACTCTGCATACTATGCATGTCACTGACATTGGTAAGTAGTTTAGTGCTTCGTATCTGTCTCTCTTTATAACAATTAGGACTACATTTGTTGTCGCCCTGTTTCGATAGATGCGTTGAAGATTGTTAATGACACACATAGTGCCTCTGCTTCCTCTCTCAGGACCCATGGAGAGATGTTATCCGGCCTCATCCCCTTTGAGGTATCTAACTCACTTAGCAGCCTCTTCACTTTCTCCTCTGTTGTATGTATTGTGTCCAACACTTGATCGTCTAACCCACCTCTCCATCTCTCCAGAATCCCTTCTGTTTCCTTTGTGAACACTTTAAATCTCATGTTGAGCTCCTCATATACTTCTCGGTCGTCGTTTCTTGTGATCTCCCCTTCTTCCTTCCTCAGCCTGATTACCTGGTCCGTGACTGTTATTTTCCTCCTGATGTGGCTGTACAACACCTGGTCAGATTTCAATTTTGCTGCTATGTCATTTTCGTATTGCCATTGGGCCTCCCTTCTTACCTGTGCATGTTCATTTCTGGCTATACGATTGCTCTCTTTATTCTTCTGGGACCTTTGCCTTCTATACTTCTTCCATTCTCTATCACACTTGGTTCTGGCCTCTCTACACCTTTGAGTGAACCAAAGGCTCATCCTGGCCTCGTTATTTCTGTTACCTTTGGTTACAAACCTCTCCTCAGCTTCCTTGCACATTGTTGTCACATATTCCATCATCTCACTTACTGACTTCCCTGCCAGTGCTCTGTCCCATTGAACCTCGTGCAGGAAATTCTTCATGCCTCTGTAGTCTCCTCTCATGTAGTTTGTCTTCGTTCGTCTTGCCCTTCCTGCTTCCCTCTCCACTTGTAACTCTACTATATATTCTAAGCTCGGAACCACGTAGTCTCTGGCCCCGAGGGGTCTTTCGTATGTGATGTCCTCAATAACTGCATTTCTCAGTCTTGCTAGTTCATCCTCTTCTCTATCTCTGGAAGTGTCCCTTATGTGTTGGCACATGAGGGTTTTCCAGTTCCACCTCAATCATCTTAGCCCTCCACGTTTCTGGGCCCACATATGGCTCCAAGTTCTCCCAGTCAATTTCTTTGTGATTAAAGTCACCCACAGTCAGTAGCTTTGCCCGGCTCACATGAACCTTTCTGGCCGCTTCAGACAGTGTGTCAATCATCGCTCTGTTACTCTCATCATTCTTTTGCCTTACTTCCTGCTTTTCTGTGGTGGGTTATACATCACTGCAATTACCACCTTGGGACCTCCAGACTGAAGTGTTCCTATTACGTAGTCTCTTGCTTCTCTGCCTCCTCTCTCCAACTCATCAAATCCCATTTTTTTGGATGAGCACTGCCATTCCTCCACCCCATCTGTTTCCTCTGTCTCTCCTCAGGATCTGATATCCCTTTGGAAAGATGGCACCTCTTATCATTCCTGTGAGCTTGGGTTCAGTGAGAGCTATGATGTCCCGTGATGCCTCTTTGATTCTTTTATGCCACTCCTTCCACTTATTCGCTATTCCATCAGCATTGGTGTACCATACCTTTATCTTTCCAACACTGTATTCTGGGGGGTCTGTGAGGGTGGGGCGCCTGGTAGTGTGCTGTGGGATTCTACAGCATATTGTGGGGTGGAGGTTGTAATTGTGGAGTGTGGTTTGTGTTGGGATAGTATGTTTGGCTGTGGGGTTCTGAGGGTGGTTGTGTGTGTGCTTGTGCTTGTTGCTCTGCTCGTCTCTGGTAGTCCTCTGTTGACTCTGTCCTTGTCTCTCTTCCTATCCCCTTTCGTTTCTGTGTCTTCTCCCTCAGCTGCTGTCATTCTGTTCTTGTTTTGTCGCAGTCTAGGAACACCCTCTTGTATGTTGATGATACCTTCAGCCCTGGTTTCTCTTGCAGGATCCTGTTCTGCACCATTTCTGTCATGAAAATAAATTTGACTGGCATTTTCTTCCCTTCAAGTACCCTCCTATTCTCCAAAAATTTACTATCTCAGTCATATCCTCCTCACCTATTTGTTTGTTGATGTTTTCAATCTCCTGTTTTTCTTTCTACTGTCTTTCATTATGTGTCCTCTCTTGAAGCCCATGAATAAACACTGACTTGTCCCTTTCCTCTTCCCATTGCCTTTCTCTTTGTGTCTCTGGGTCCCATTTGTGCATAGCCATTGTCTTCCTTATTTTTTCCTGTAACTCTTGGTGGCATGGTCATGCCTCTGCATGGGACCTGTCACCTTCTCTACCTTCTCCCTCCTCACTTACTGTTATCCCTGCTCATAACAGCTCTCCCCCTGCGTGGTGGACTGATAGGGCCTTAGTGTAAATCTTGTCTTCTTTCTTCCCACTGGGCTCCTTGTTTAATAGGGATGTACCTACTTCAGATGCCATGTCTCCTCTGGGCAATAGCCCAGAGGAGACATGGCATCTGCAGCATATTTACCTCATATTCTAGGGCCTGTATCCTTGCTTCTCCAGCTTCAGCTTATGAACTCAATTTCTTCTTCTCTGCCTCCATCCTCTTCTCCTTTTCACAGAGAGCTCACCTAGTTTGCTCTCCCACTCTTGTTCCATCTTTTTACAATGCTCCATCTATTCTTCCTTACCAGAATCATCTTTCTCTGATCCCATGAGCCTTTGACTTTCCCTCTGGGCACCCTTTTTTTGTTAGGTTTTTGTAGTGCCTGTATGTGTGCTCTGTGTGTGTACTCACCTAATTGTGGTTGCAGGGGTCGAGACTCAGCTCCTGGCCCCGCCTCTTCACTGATCGCTACTGGGTCCTTCTCTCTCTGCTTCCTGAGCTTTGTCATACCTCTTCTTAAAACTATGCATGGTTCCTGCCTCCACTACTTCACTTGCTAGGCTATTCCACTTGCTGACAACTCTGTGACTGAAGAAATACTTCCTAACGTCCCTGTTACTCGTCTGAGTCTTCAGCTTCCAGTTGTGAGCCCTTGTCCCTGTGTCCCCTCTCTGGAACATCCTATCTCTGTCCACCTTGTCTATTCCCCGTGTACTCACCTATTTGTACTCACCTATTTGTGGTTGCAGGGGTCGAGTGTTAGCTCCTGGCCCCGCCTCTTCACCGGT